TCACTGGGCACTCAGACGCTTCTTGGGTTGACGACCAGGCTACTCAGCGGTCGTCACAGGGTTACACCTTCAGCCTTGGCTCTGGTTCAGTTTCGTGGCGTTCTACACGTTCGTCTTCAGTTCTCAGCTCCAGTTGTGAGGCTGAGATCTACGCCACAGCCATGGCTGCACAGGAGTTACGCTGGCTCACCTACCTGCTGACTGACTTGGGAGAGCAGCCTCGTTCTCCTCCAGTGCTGTACGTCGACAACAAGGCCGCCATTGCCTTGTGTGAGGAGCACAGACTGGAGCACAGAACGAAGCACATCGCTCTGCGTTACTTCCTGGCTCGAGAGTTGCAGCAGCGAGGTCAGCTTCGTCTTCGTCACGTGGCCACTCGGGCCAACACTGCTGATATATTCACCAAGGCACTTCCGTCTGGTGATCATCAGCGCTTTTGTACCCTGTTAGGTCTTGTGCCTACGTTTCCACACTTGCTGTAGTCTCTGCTTGTACTGTGATATATATATATACATGCATGCCTGCTCTTGCTAGGTAGTCATCACTGCACTGTTATTGTTGCATATATATCTCTGCATGTGGACTGGCCTTGTGGCCCTTTGCTTGTGCTCAGAATGTGTGGTGACATTGTGATCCACCCTGAGCTTGTTTTGCGTCTCTTGACTGGTCGTGTGACCCCTTGTTCTCCCCCACTTTGCCTATGGGGGTGTGTCAAACATATATGCTACATATTGTCTAGGCTATAGTGGGGTAGCCCATATGGGGTACAACCCAATTAGGGTTTACTACTTGTACTCCTGCATGCTGCTAGTTCATCCTTTCTTGCTACTAGTTTCTAACACGGTGGAATGACGACATCAACTGTGCACTCCATGTTGTCGGTCGGATACTGTACCCGCCGAACCAGTTTGAGAAGATCTTTGGCGTGGACAAGGAGTGCTCGAGGATATTTCGACAATTCATTCGAGAATACTATGATGGAGAGTTGGTGGTCGATGAGGACGGCGACTCCAAGCCCATGGCTACTGTGATTGAAGAGGAGTTGATGATCTACCTTCAAGGCGTTGGGGAAATTGGGGATAAGAAAGCACGCGAGGATCACGAGCTCATAAAAAAGGGTAAGCAGGATCCTGTCCATTGGTGGAAATTCAACGGGTGTGATAGTCCCAAGCTCTCGAAGCTTGCTTGCAGAGTGCTGAAGCAGTGTGTCTCTGCGTCAACCTGCGAGACCAACTGGTCGGTGTGGGAATCTGTTCACACTGTTCGCCGTAACCGTCTTGGTCCAACGCGGTTGGCGGATCTTGTGTACGTTGTCGAGAAGCCTAGCTAGAACTTAGTAGCCATGGCTAGGGTTTAGGGTGCTTGCAAGAGTGTCGAGAAGTTTGAGCAAGAAAGAAGTGTTTCACTAATGAGCAAACATACAAGATATAGTTCAAGGGACAAGGAAATGTGGTGCACCACCAATGTAACACTACACTAACCACTGCTACAAGCAGTTTATATAAGAAATATATTTCAACACACCCCCTAAACTGCTTGCAGCAGGAAGCGAATGCAGAGACACCCTTGCAGGGGCACACCAAGCGCAGCAGGAGAGGGCAAGTGAGGAGGAGGAGAGACTGTGAGAGGAGAAAGGATGGGAGGCGACGGCTGAAGCTGCAGACATACGGGCAACAGGAGCGGCGCGCACAGTGGCTACCGGTGGCAAGGGCCCCGGACTACAGGAGTAACAGGCTCCGCGGCTAAGACGAGCGGCAGGAGCAACGGACCCACGGGCGACAGGCGCAGCAGGCTCTCTGGGCTACCAGCGGCAAGGGCCCCGGAGTACAGGCGCTGCAGACGACAAAACTGCTGGCCCCACTCAACCTCCCCCAACTGTCCCACTCCCTTTCACACACCCCTTGCTGCACCCCTAGCTCCATGCCCACGTCACCCCCCTAGCACCACTACTTCGGCCTTCGGCTCCCACACACCCACCCCCCTCAGCGACAGCTGCAGCAGTGGGAGACGGAGGAGGAGGAGGAGTAGGGGACGGCGCACACACCCTGCACCCCCATAACCGCCACCCCCACACTCGCCACCCCCAAACCCTAAAACGGGTGGCACGGGGCAGGAGCGCGGGGGACGGCGAGGGGGACGGCGCGCGGCCCCCAGGGCGCCACGACGGGGCAGCGGGGGGCCGCGGGGGGGTCGCGCGCGGCTCCCCAGGGCGCCGCGACGGGGCAGCGGGGGGTCGCGCGCGGCTCCCCAGGGCGACGCAACGAGGCAGCGGGGGCCGCGCGCGGCTTCCCAGAGCGCCTCGTCGGGGCAGCGGGGGGCCGCAAGCAGCTCCCCAGGGCGTCGCGACGAGGCAGCGGGGGCCGCGCGCGGCTCCCCAGGGCGCCACGACGGAGCAGCGGGGGCGACGTGACGGGCTCCCGGGGGGCGACGCGACCGTCGAGTGACGGGGCAGGAACCCGCCGCGCGCCTCGGGGCGGGCAGAAAACGGCCACACGCCCCGAGCGCGTGGCGGGAAGAAAGATAACCGTCGCGCGCCACGGGGCGCGCGACAGACAGGACAGCAGCAGCGGAAGCATAGGGGCCCACAGGCCAAGGTAGAATGAGCTCTGATACCATGTCGAGAAGCCTAGCTAGAACTTAGTAGCCATGGCTAGGGTTTAGGGTGCTTGCAAGAGTGTCGAGAAGTTTGAGCAAGAAGGAAGTGTTTCACTAATGAGCAAACATACAAGATATAGTTCAAGGGACAAGGAAATGTGGTGCACCACCAATGTAACACTACACTAATCACTGCTACAAGCAGTTCATATAAGAAATGTATTTCAACATACGTCACCCACAACTACAACACCGTGCGCAAGCTGCATGCGGAACAAGCCAAGAATCGTATGGTTGCAGGAACGACAGTTGGACGGGTGGAGGAGGAGGAGAAGGACGATACCTACGAGCCACTCAATGACGAGGAACTCGAGGATTGCTGTTACGAGGAGTCGAAGGATGATGTTTAGTTAAACATGCTTAATGTTGTACTCAAAATTATAATATCTATAGTTTTCCAGCCACATGTGGATCCCCCCTTAAAAAAAAAAAAAATTCCGGGCAGCCCCTAAAAAAAACCTGCCCGGAAACGTAATCTCAAAACTGGAAGTCAAACGTAACGTAAAACGTACGTAAACGTAAACGTACGTAAACGTACGCGTAATATCCAACTTAGGTCCCAACCCAAACTCCACCAGGCCTAATGCCTCTCACAGCCTGATTTCCTCCCCCCCAACCCCCCAACCCGGCCCCCCTCTTCCCCCTCACCCCTCGTCTCCCCCCCCCCCCCCCCCAGCTTCCCAGTCCCTTGCACCTCTCTCTACCCAACTCCCACAGTCCCTCGCATATCTCCCTGCCCAACTCCCCCAGTCCCTTGAACCTCTCCCAACTCCCCCAGTCCCTTGCACCTCTCCTCACCCAACTCCCCCAGTCCCTTGCACCTCTCCTCACCCAACTCCCCCAGTCCCTTGCACCTCTCCTCACCCAACTCCCCCAGTCCCTTGCACCTCTCCTCACCCAACTCCCCCAGTCCCTTGCACCTCTCCTCACCCAACTCCCCCAGTCCCTTGCACCTCTCCTCACCCAACTCCCCCAGTCCCTTGCACCTCTCCTCACCCAACTCCCCCAGTCCCTTGCACCTCTCCTCACCCAACTCCCCCAGTCCCTTGCACCTCTCCTCACCCAACTCCCCCAGTCCCTTGCACCTCTCCTCACCCAACTCCCCCAGTCCCTTGCACCTCTCCTCACCCAACTCCCCCAGTCCCTTGCACCTCTCCCATCCAAAATCCCATAATACCTCATGCTTACCACTAAGTCACAGACCCCCCCATCCTCTCCCCCCTTCTTCTCGCCTCCTCTTCTCTGGCCCCCCTTCCCCTCTCCAATCACTTCACACCTCTCCCAATCCAATTCGCAATGTCACACATGGTACGCCTCTTGCAAGCAACCCCCAAATCTCCATTCGTACTGTTTCTGGAACCCACCCCATTGTTCACACCTCTCACCACTCACCAGCCAGCATTCAATCTTGCCCTTGCGTTGCAACCCACACAACATCCTCCATTCCCTCAAACACCTCCGAATTTATCCCTTACCGATTTTTCACTGTTGGTTTTGAGTTGACTTAGAAATCGACTTACTACTTGCATTGCATGCAACCCACCCAACGTCCTCCATTCTCTCAACACCTCCCTATGTATCCCTTACCGATTCCTCACTATTAGCAACCCAACAGTCCCACCCCCCCCACCCCCCCTCCTGAATCCACTCTACCAACCTTGAGTGACAGCTACTATTACCAACCCGGAGTACCCACTCAGACCTTCACCCACGTGGACATTGAAGCCCCCAGGCCACCCCACAGCTCAAACCCCCCCAGACTTGGCCTTGAATTGCAACCCAGCTTTCCCCTTTGCTCAACACTCCTCTATAAATGTCTTTCCCAGCAACCCAACACCCGCCCTTCCCTCATGAGCTCACTCTACCAACCTTGAATATACCAGCCAGCCAACCCCGCCAACCATGAGTACTCAGGCCTCCGCCCGCCCACGTAAACACTGAAGGGCAGGGCAGGCTACGTTGCCAACCTGGTCAACAGGAAGGTGCACTCAACGGTCGACTTTTGAGTCGACTCAAAAGCAACCTGGTAAACGGGAAGATGCTCACAAAGGTTACACATGACTATCACTAGGCACCGCTGCGCAAGGTGCAAGAACAAAACACCCAGTATTGTATAACAATCATGCCCCTATAACAAACGGGTTTAGGCCTGGAAGAACCAGCTTCGCCTTTTCTAGTGCCTGATGATCACTCACTCCTACGTTTTCGAGGCACGGGAATGCTTTCAGGCATTCAACAAAAAACTGGAACCTCAGCTGCAATGTCTTGAGAGACCTGAAACACTTCAGGTACTCCATTCCCCGATACGTGATATTTGGGGGGGAAAACTCAATAATATAGAATATTTATGCCCCAATAACAAACGAGTTCAGGCCTGGAAGAACCAGCTTCACCTTTTCTAGTGCCTGATGATCACTTACCCCAACGTTTTCAAGGCAAGGGAATGCTTTCAGGCATTCAACAAAGAACTGGAACCTCAGCAGCAAGGTCTTGAGAGACCTGAAACACTTCAAATACTCCATTCCCCGATACGTGATATTCGGGGGAAGGCTGAGCCATCTTAGCTTGACCAGAGGGGTAAGGCACCATAACCCGTAGTCACAGACCTGGGTGTTTGCAATATCCAGATGCTCCAAGTTTCCCAGCTTCCCCACATATACCATGCTATCAGATGTGAAGCTTCCTCCCAACAATTGCTGAGACAGAACAAGACTCTGTAACGAGGACAGCGTTGTGAGGTTAGCAAGCCCGTTACCTGACATCGGGGTATCACGCAACTCCAGGTGGCGAAGGGCTTTAAGATTCGCGATTTCGGGCAACAAGGGCTCGGAAACCGATTCCAGTCGCAGCTCTTCCAGCCATGTCATGGAGTAGAGGCGCAGAAGAGCAGGCTTTTCGAGATTGCCTATAACGGAGATGCTCTTGAGGGATCGCATACAGGAGAGTCGAAGGAAACCCAAGGGCGTCACGCGGGAAGGGTCGTTCAGCGTGAGTTCGGTGGTGTCGGGGTGGAGAGTGATGAGCTGCATGTCTTCTTCTGTGGGAAGGTGACGAACGGCTTCCGGAATTGCCTGAAAGCATGACAGCAACCAGGGTGCGGAGTGATTGCCAACCAGGGTGAGGAATAATCAGCAACCACGGGACGACGCGACCCTCACTCTCGTAATCCATAATACGCAATCAGACGTGGCGGCGTCGGCGATCTCCCACTTCTCACCTCCCAAATCTTCCGAATGTCCTCTTTCCGCAGAACCAGCGCTTCCTCTGCCAGCGCCAGTCGCGCTGACAACGCATGCACCTCCAATTCCTTCTCCTCCCTCGCAATCCTCTCCCTCGCAATCCTCTCCCGTGCTAGGTCATCCTCTAGCTGTCGAATTCTTGCCTTGCTCGCCTCTCTGTCTTCAACCAGGGTGTGTTCAATAGTTTCCACCTTCTTACTGAGGACGTTCAACAGCTCCTGAAGCCTGGCAACGGTATCGTCCGTTTCGATTTTGTGCCGTTTGCACTCCTCCGAATCGCCCCTCGCGTCGTCTAAAACGGAATATTCTGTGTCAAATCCGCGCTTCGCCATTGGTCAGATCTGTCAGCTAAAAATGAAAGAAAATCGCAAGCGATATGTCCTAAAGAACTATCAGCAAAGCGGCTGCACTTTATGAAATGGAGAGAAATCGGTATCTGGCTGTTGAGGTATGTGGGAACAGGAAGCTGACGACGGCTCACATACCAACTAGACGAAGTCGAAGCGTTCTGCCTCTGATCGTGCCCCCTACCAGTACAAAAGGAGTTGATCATGAGACTGGAGCTGCCCCTGCTAGCAGACGAAAGGGAGAATGAAGGATGAATGAAGGATGAGGGGTTTTTAGTTAATCCCGCACTGTTACTGAAAATATACGAAAAAAGCGCAGCATTGTCGCTTCTGGCGCACTGTTAGTGCCCAGTTTTCGATCACAGCGCATAGTTAGTGAGATTTCTACGCAGTAAAGATTTCATTGGTCAAAATGTTGACGGACCGACAACTCCGGTTGGATTGACGGCCATCGAACTGTTTGCACCTGAATTTTGGGCAGACGAAAATATATTACCCTCTCGGATGGCATGCTGTTCAGGGAGCATCAACCCTAAACACCGGGCGGGGTGTTTAGGGAGCATCAACCCTAAACACCGGGCGGAAGTGTTTAGGGAGCATCAACCCTAAACATTGGCCGAAAGTGTTCAGGGCTGATTCCCTTTGTCACGATTTGTATATATATATAAATATATATATAAATATATATTTTAATGGCTGCCGTCGAGGGAGCATCAACCCTAAACTCCACGCGACTGGATGTTTAGGATTGATGCACTCTCTATATGGGCGTGAAAATTTTGAAACACCTGACTGAGTTAAATAAATTTTCTGTTACATTGCAGGCTTGTCGTTTTCGGATTTTTGGACGAATGAGCGTCGAGCTGCGTAGAAATCGCACAAACTCTGCGCTGTAAACGAAAAACGGGCAGTAACCCTGCCCCAGAAGCGATGAAACTGCGCATTTGGCGTGCAGTTTCGAAAACCGTGCGTTGTCAACTGAAAACCCAAGGATGAGAGCTGCGAGCGTGATCAGTTGGGTGATTTCGTGGGCACTGGGCAGGCGTGATTTTCTTTGTCAATGTTGCACACATCATTACATCTTTGGCATGTTGTGTGCGCTGTCCACCACCGCTGTCAATGTAGCGGCGGCAATCATGAACGTCAGCGCGAAATATCTTCCTGATCACGCGTGCACGAATTTCCATCGCTGGTCAGTCGAGAACATTCAATGTCAGAGTTACATTCAATCACAGCATGTCACCTAGGACTTCATTTGGCGGGTTAAAGCCCGCGTCCCAAATTGCGGAGCGCTAGGGTCAAGTTTTTAAAACTTGACGAAGTTGAGTTTGTGTCCAAGCTTTTGAAAGTCACGCACCTGCAATTTGGGACTTCGGAAGACAGATTCACTCACCAGGGGGAAAATTCGGGGGTTGGCTGTGTCTCACGAAAAAACGAACCTAGACGAAATTTGAAACCTTCGTCAAAGCCCACACCAGAAAAACTCCCTCTTGTCAACTTTTAAAAGCATGAACAATTTGGGCCGCCGGCTTTAAGTGGGTGAAAGCGGGACCCTGCTCGTTCCACTGACCCCTACGGGTGTGGAGCGAGTGCTTCATTCAAGAGAGGCGTGTCTAGCGCTACATTTACAGCTCACTAGCCGATACAGTTACCACATTTTTGGTGTGTAACCATTGTTTTACAATATTTATGGGCTCGTACACCTTACGTACGTAAATGCGGACGCGGACCACACGTGCGCCGACTCGTAAAAATCACGCGCAACACACGTAACATGCGACTTAGGGTACATTCCGCTGTGGACATGCGTCCCAATCGATGTGTCCCAATCGGGTGTACCGCTCCGAACCGCACTAAACCAGAGAAGCGAAAATTTTGAAACTAGGGTGTAATTCGGTGTAATAAGATTCAGTGCGGTAGAATCGATTGGGACACATCGATTGGGACGCATGTCCACAGCGGAATGTACCCTTATTCTGACTAGTACGGGCCTGAATCGCTACAGTGCTGGCTTCAGCGAATTCAGCCTTGAATTTCGCGAAAAATTTGCACCTTCAGTTTCTTGTGGTTACAAAGCTTTGTTGTCGTCAGTTTCGTGAATTTGCTGTTCGAAATGTGTTGGGTGATGGGTTGTGTCTGGCCGCGCTATTTTGGACTCGACACTTTGAGGGAACACCTGGCGGTACCATTCTCGCAAATGATAACAAATACGTAAAAAATTAGTAAAAATACCAAAGTGAACGCGCTGGAGACGCCATAATATCACGACAAATCATCACACGATCCTGGACGAATAGAGGAAACAAGTGAAAGAAAGACATATGAGCGAGTGCTTCATATTCCTCGATAGTGGTTCTGCTGATAATCATGGTGTGCAAGATCTTGTTTTGGTGTTTCTGCACATGATAGATAATATAATTACGGTAAACAAAGCAACAAGCCAATCCACAACCTATTTACAGTACAATCATACCCATTGTTAAGAGTCCTAAACATGTCAACCTTGCGACGGTATTTCTTAGCAATCAACATGCCACATGTATCTCCGCGCTTCACACTGTACAATCGCTTGGTTGAACATGTATTGCCCGATAACGGTCGGCCGTCAACACCAGCCACACAAATCTGTGAGTCAACCATCAGTGGGAACAGGATGGAAGGGGAAGAAAAAGAAACTGCGTTAGATAGCCTTCACACACAGAGGCAGAGACAGAGACGAGGCAAAGACATTGACAGCAGCACCAGACACAGGCACTGGCACAGGCACAGGTACAGGTACTACTTGCAGCGTATAGCGTGGAAGTTATAACCTCCTTCACCTCCACCCCACACACAGACCTTCCCGACTCACCCGACTCATCATATCGCCCTGCAGGGGGCTGTAGGGCAGCAGCGAGTCGCACGAGAGGCCGGGATTCAACTGGAAGAAGCACGTCAGACTTCTTGCTCCTCCCTCATCCCACAACTCACACCCGCAACCCCTCGACTCTCAACCTCCCAGCCCAACTCACCCTTCTCATCATATCCCCTGCAGCGGGCTGTGCGGCAGCAGCGAGTCGCATGAGAGCTCCGGATTCAGCTGGAAGAAGCGCGTGGGGGAGGCTGGCCTTTTCGCCTCCCCCCTCCTCCCCCTCCCCCCTCTCCACTTCCCCACCCAACCTCCCTCACCAACAGATCTTTTGACTCACCCTTCTCATCATGTTGCCCTGCAGCGGGCTGTAAGGGAGCAGCGAGTCGCACGAGAGTCCCTGATTCATCTGCAAGAAGCGCGTGGGGGAGGCAACGCCAAACGCCCGCCACAGCTGCTGGCAGCTCTGCGGGCCCTGCAGGACAGTCACGAGCACACCTAGGCTCGTGTAGTTGGCCAGAGGCGGAGGAGGAGGGGGTGGTTGAGGGCTCGGTGGGGTTGGGGGTGGGATTGTTGTTGGTGTCAAGGCTGGGGTGATTTGCGCTTGGAGCTTGCATGATATGCGGGTTTTTCCCTCTTCTAGCCACGTCTGGTTGGCGTCGACACAGAGTAGCTGTGGAGGAGGGAGGGGGGAGAAGGGGGGAGAGAGGGGAGAGAGGAATGTGAGAACAAATTGTGGAAAAGGGTTGAGAGGGGGGGAGAAGGGGGAGAGGGATGAGAAGGGGAGAGAGGGGGGGAGACGGAATGTGTGAACACGCACCCATTTCTTTGGAGATCGAGTTTGGTTGGAGATGTGTGCGATGCGATGCAATGCGTGATGCGATGTGATGTGATGCGATGCGATGCGATGCGATGCGATGCGATGCAATGCGTGATGCGATGTGATGTGATGCGATGCGATGCGATGCGATGCGATGCGATGTGATGTGATGCGATGCGATGCGATGCGATGTGATGTGATGCGATGCGATGCAATGCGTGATGTGATGTGATGTGATGTGATGCGATGCGATGCAATGCGTGATGCGATGCGATGTGATGTGATGTGATGTGATGTGATGCGATGCGATGCGATGCGATGTGATGGGATGCGATGTGATGCAATGCGTGATGTGATGTGATGTGATGTGATGTGATGCGATGCGATGCGATGTGATGTGATGGGATGCAATGCGATGCGATGCGATGTGTTGAGATGTGATGTGATGAGATGAGATGCGATGCGACGCGATGCGATGTGATGTGATGCGACGCGATGTGATGTGTTTTTACGTGCAACAGAGTCAATCTTATCTCGAGCAGCAGGAAAAGACAAATTACCCGTTTCAAAATGCAGGGATCCTGCACCCACCTTCACCGACGTTCATCTGCACCCATCTACACCGATGCTCACCTGGCCGGGCCTGGGACCATCGGAGCAGGTGAGGGCGGGGTTGAGCGGCTGTATCTGCGTGGAGAAGAGGGCGTTGAGTGAGTCACACGTGTCACCCTGCAGAGACACACGGGGAGGAGGGGAGACAAAGAGAAAGGGGGTTAAAAAACCGAGCGAGGAGAGTGGGGAAGAGGGTGTTGAGTGAGTCCCACGTGTCACCCTGCTGGCACACACGGGGATGAGGGGAGGGGAGACGAAGGGAAGGGGGGTGGGGGCAAAAACTGGGTGAGTAAGCAAGGCCATTTAGACAGTCTCGGAAGAGGGCGTTCGTAGGGAGATTAGTAGGCAAGGAAACCCAAGGACAGTGGAGAAGAGGGCGTTGAGTTAATCACACGTGTCACCCTGCCGGCACACACACAGGTGCCACCTTGCCAGGAAAAGGAAGGGAGTGGGCAGATGAAGGGAGAAGCGAAAAGGAAAGGAGTGGGCAGATGAAGGGAGAAGGGTAAAGGAAGGGAGTGGGCAGATGAGGGGAGAAGCGAAAAGCAAGGGAGTGGGCAGATGAAGGGAGAAGGGTAAAGGAAGGGAGTGGACAGATGAAGGGAGAAGGGTAAAGGAAGGGAGTGGGCAGATGAAGGGAGAAGGGTAAAGGAAGGGAGTGGGCAGATGAAGGGAGAAGGGTAAAGGAAGGGAGTGGGCAGATGAAGGGAGAAGGGTAAAGGAAGAGAGTGGGCAGATGAAGGGAGAAGGGTAAAGGAAGGGAGTGGGCAGATGAAGGGAGAAGGGTAAAGGAAGGGAGTGGGACGATGAAGGGAGAAGGGTAAAGGAAGGGAGTGGGCAGATGAAGGGAGTGGGCAGATGAAGGGAGTGGGCAGATGAAGGGAGTGGGCAGATGAAGGGAGTGGGCAGATGGAGCGAGTGGGAAATGCAAACACAGGCAAACGCACTGGCACTCGGATATACGCACTGGAAAACACTTCAACACAACGGCACTTACATAATTAGCAGTGTACATGGAAGTGCATTGGGAGAAAGCCCGGCTGGTGACGTTAACCAGAGTGTCTACAGGGATGGGCGCTCGGCATTGGAATCCCTGCAGTCAGCACACGGAGAGACAGGGAGGATTGGAATGTAGTTCATGAGTTGCGATGCGACGTCACCTGATCCTGATGTGTCGTCGCGTGTGAGAAGACGAAACGTGCCGACCCTCCAACCACAGCCCAAATTTTGAGGCGCCTCAAAAGTCAAATTTTGAGGCGCCTCAAAAATTCCGATATGACGTCGCGTGTGAGAACATAAAGCGTGCCAACCCCCCACCCACGGCCCAAACCCGCCTTAAGTGTAGCACCTTCCTGACCGCAGCCCTGCTCACCTTGTTTAGGCGGAAGGACTCGACCTCTGTGAGCCCATAAATGTTGAGGATGAGCGCGCATGTGAGGCCGTAGGGCGACAGGAAGGTGGGCATTCGAGTCTCAGCCAATCGCACTGCATCCATGGGGTAGGCATGCATGGGTTAGGCATGCATGGGGTAAGCATGCATGGGGTAAGTGCTATGAAGAGGGTGAGAGAGTGGTGAATGTGAGAAAGAGAGAATGGTGCATAGGCTGGTAGCAAGAAAGCAACAAGCGAGCAAGGAAGCAGACAAGAAAGACCATGTGACCATGTGGTACGCACATTGATAACAGCGGGCAGCGCCTTTCGGGTAGAAGTAGAAGGGGAAGCAGCACAAGAGGCAGAGGCTGGTAGCAAGCAAGCAATCAAGCGAGCAAGCAAGCGTGCAAGACCATCTAATTTGACTATGTGTTACGCACACTGGTAACAGCGGGCAGCGCCTTTGGGGTAGTAGAAGGGGAAATAGGGTGAAGGGCAGAGGCAGGAGTAGGTGAAGTCTATGTCATCGATGCACACCCCCGGGGCACATGGGTTCCGGGGGAACTGGCGACACGTGAAGGAATCTGGTTAGTGGGGATGGGCAGACAGGGGAAAGGGTGGCAACAGAAAGAAGGGTGGAGGGCAAAGGCAGGTCTACAGCTTTTAGCAAACTGTTGTTAAGTGCGTGTAGGCTTGCTTCGTAAAAACCTTGTGAAAATGATTTTTGGAACTGAAAAATGTATTATTACCCGTCAAATTAGTTCGGCTGGTGGAGCATTTGGCTTGCCAAACATCTGGTGAATCGGTTCATGTAATTGTACCCGTCAAATTGGTTTAAAAGCTTCCTCTAGGGGAACGCCTCGTAAATTAGTCCTAATATTCTAGAATGGTCCTAATCTCTCATTGAGATCCAAACCCAAGAAACAATGCCAGCGCGCCAAAGGTAAAAGTTTCTTTCGCACAGGCCGATCTTACTCCAAGATCTACTTGTGCCAAATAAACGATACATTCACATCCAGGCACCATTTTTTGCGTGATTTTCAGCAGGACTTGTGGTACGATGTCCAGCAAAGGGGATGTCGTATGGGCAAAATTTGGTGGGCCTGTGGACGTCTGGCCAGTGCAGCTTATGTCAGACCTTTCGGAAGAGCAACGTGAAAGCGATGGGCCTCCTGTTCTTGTGAAAATCCTTGACATTAAGGTAGGGTGACTGATTTTGGTAAGATGACTCACATATTTGCTAGCATCAGATAGTCAGGCTAAAGCATGTACTTGTATGGAGGACAGGGGGAGGTGGGAAATAAGCACGCCATAAAACTACATGCTTTATCCTGACTATCTGATGCTAGCAAATTTGTTGAATCACCTTACCAAAATCAGCCAAGAACAGAAAGCACATCAGCTTTTTGTTTTTCTTCCTAAAACTCTAAAATAAGCTGCAATGGCCAAACGCCCACAAGCCTACCAAATTCTAACAAAGACATCTTCTTTGTTGGACATCGTGTCACAAGTCCTGTTGGAAATCACGCTAAAAATGGTGCCTGGATGTGAATGTGTCGTTTAGTGAGCATAAGTAAATGTTGAAGTACAATCGGTCCGTGCGAAAAAATCTTTTACTTTTGGCGCGCTGACATTGTTTTTTGGGTTTGGATATCAATGAGAGATTGAACCATTCTACGAATTAGGACCATCGTACGAGGCGTTCTTCTAGAAAAAACTTTTGAACCAATCTGATGGGTACTACTACATCGACCGATTCACCAGGTGTTTAGTAAGGCGAATGGTCCGCTAACCGAACTAATCTGACGAGTACTATATATATATATTTATATACTAACCCTAAACCCTATATATATTTTAGTGCTAAAATCTCTTTTCACAAGGTTTTTACAAAGCAAGCCTACACAATAATTTCCGTTAGCAAAATCAATCGTACGAGTGCAGACTTTTTTTTTTCCAGAAATTTCAAGAGGAAAAAACGAAAGAGAGAAAAGACAGAAGGGAGCAGGTTGATTATTGATCAAGGACGGCTTTTGCATTTTCCCAAGAGCATTGTGAATCGAGACCGAGTGCAAGCGCACAAAACTACGTCATCCACAAACAAACCAGAAAGGCACCTACCACACTCCACACCACCTCTCGCCCACCACACTCCACTCCTCACCTACTGCGCTCCACCTCTCACCTACCGCACTCCACCCCTCAATTACCACACTCCACCATTTCATCTCACCAGGGAAGCAGAAGGGAAGGCCGTCAAGATGGGACGGTTGGAAGGAGGGGAGCTTCAAGGGGCAGTTGCAGGAGGGCACGAGGATAGACGGGTCCCACGGGGCACATGCCTTGGTGCATGCACCCGTGCCACAGGGGAGCACCGGAGAACCTTTGCAGGGGTCGGTTCTGTTGGCCAAGGTGATGAGAAGGAGGCAGAAGGGGAACAAGGAGAGCAAGCAAGGGTGTGAGGCAGGAGGAGAGGAAAGACGGGTCCCATGGGGCAGGTGCCTTGGTGCATGCACAAGTCCCACAGGGCAGCACCGGAGAACCCTTGCAGGGGTCGGTGCCTGTTGGGGGAGGGGGGGGGGGGAGGGGAGGGGGGGAGGAGGATGGGGGGGAGGAGGATGGGAACGGGTAGGGATGAGCAAAAAAACGAACACCTGTTCGGTTCACCTCGAACATGTTCGAGGCGAACCGAACAGGTAAATTTCTTTGGCTTAAAGTGTTCGCCGAACAGTGTTCGAGGTTCGCCCGAACACGTTCGTGTTCGGGCCGCTGCTGCAATTTGCCCCTAGACGAACACGAACGTGTTCGAGGTTCGCCCGAACACGCCTTCATAGGCGAACGGCGAACACCTGTTTTTGCTTAAGGTGTTCGCCGAACCGAACAGTGTTCGGTTCGCCGAACAGGGGTGTTCGTGCATGGGCGAACGCGAACACGTTCGTGTTCGCCCCTTGCTCATCCCTAGGAACGGGGAGTGTGCGGATGTATGAGGTAGGAGGAGAGAGAAGTCCAGGTATGAGACTGAATCATTTAGACATGCCTTGAAGCGCATGCAGGAATGGAACAGGGGAGCACTAAAGAGGCGTTGCAGGGGTAGTGTCACGTGGAAGGAAAGGATCAGAATGGGGAGCTGAAAAGAGGGTGTGTGTTGTGGAGAGAGGGAGAGAGGGAGAGAGGGAGAGAGGAGTCCCTCCAAGTAGGTGCTTAGATATTTCAGTTGAAGTATGTGCTGTGCAGGGACACATGGGGGTGCAGGAGGGTGGAAGGGGGTGTGTGGGGTTACAAGGAACAAAAATCCTCCCTCCCCTCTTCCCCACATGTAGAGGGGGAGTGTGTGCTGTGCAAGGGATGGTGTGTGCTGTGCAAGGGATGGTGTGTGCTGTGCAAGGGATGGTGTGTGCTGTGCAAGGGATGGTGTGTGCTGTGCAGGGGATGGTGTGTGCTGTGCAGGGGATGGTGTGTGCTGTGCAGGGGATGGTGTGAGCTGATGGTGTGTGCTGTGCAGGGGATGGTGTGTGCTGTGCAGGGAATGGTGTGTGCTGTGCAGGGAATGGTGTGTGCTGTGCAGGGAATGGTGTGTGCTGTGCAGGAGATGGTGTGTGCTGTGCAGGGAATCGTGTGTGCTGTGCAGGGGATGGTGTGAGCTGTGCAGGGGATGGTGTGTGCTGTGCAGGGGATGGTGTGTGCTGTGCAGGGAATGGTGTGTGCTGTGCAGGGGATGGTGTGTGCTGTGCAGGGGATGGTGTGTGCTGTGCAGGGGATGGTGTGTGCTGTGCAGGGAATGGTGTGTGCTGTGCAGGGGATGGTGTGTGCTGTACAGGGAATGGTGTGTGCTGTGCAGGGGATGGTGTGAGCTGTGCAGGGGATGGTGTGTGCTGTGCAGGGGATGGTGTGTGCTGTGCAGGGAATGGTGTGTGCTGTGCAGGGGATGGTGTGAGCTGTGCAGGGGATGGTGTGTGCTGTGCAGGGGATGGTGTGTGCTGTGCAGGGAATGGTGTGTGCTGTGCAGGGAATGGTGTGTGCTGTGCAGGGGATGGTGTGTGCTGTGCAGGGGATGGTGTGTGCTGTACAGGGAATGGTGTGTGCTGTGCAGGGGATGGTGTGTGCTGTACAGGGAATGGTGTGTGCTGTGCAGGGGATGGTGTGTGCTGTGCAGGGAATGGTGTGTGCTGTGCAAGGAATGGTGTGTGCTGTGCAGGGAATGGTGTGTGCTGTGCAGGGGATGGTGTGTGCTGTGCAGGGAATGGTGTGTGCTGTGCAGGGAATGGTGTGTGCTGTGCAGGGGATGGTGCATCGGACCTTCCCCCCATCTCGCCCCCTTCCCCTCCCCCCTACCTGTGAATCGGAAGGTCCAGGAGGAGAGGGCGACGGGGGAAGGCAGGCGGCCAGGGGGGGGAGGGAGAGCAGCGCTGGTGAACCCAACGAACACCTGCCCAAAGGATGGCGACGATAGGTCCGTTGCACTGCTGCTGCTGTCGCTGTCACTGCTGCTGCTGCTGCCGCTACCACTGCCGCCGCCACTGCTGCTTCCGCTGGTGCCAGGGCCCCCAGCAAGAGCAGCACAGAGGTCAAGAGAGACGTTCATGCTGTCTACTAGCACAGGCGGGTGGTACCATCTGATCAGCATCTCCTTGCTTCTCCCGTTATAGTCAACCCTCATCTGCATCACCTCCTCTGGCTCCACCACATCTGACACCACCTCCTCGAAAATCGAAGTCATGTTGAAATCGGTGTTTACGCCGATGTGATAAGTATTTACAGCGTCAATTTCCGGGTGCCAAGACACAGCTACACTCCGCGCGCCGTCCGGCCAGCTGCCATTAGCGAGTCGCGAGGAGGGGTCCCGGCCGTACCCCATATAAGCCCCGCCTAGGCCCACGCTCGCATGTGTGCTTATAACGAATGCGAGGCCTTGAGACGCGGATACATTTATGGAAAAGCCGTATGTGAAGGTGAACGAGCGAGCCATGCAGGTGGGAGGTTCGGTTGCTGTGGATTCGGGAGGGGAGGAGGACGAAGGAGAGGAATGGGGGTTGCTGCGAGGACGACGAGGAGGAGGAGGAGGAGGGAAGGGAGGGGAGGAGGAGGAGTAGAGGAGGGGGATACAGCGAGGGAAGAAGAGGGCTCCAGGGGCGGGATCGTCTGATTGGCCGCTGGATGATGCCACGTCAGCAGCGACGGAGAGATCGGCGGCGAAGAAGCGCTTTCTGGTGCTGCCACGTGTCAGCAGGGGAGTGGCTGGCGTGATGTAGGGGAAGGAGAACGAGTCTGCCGCCCAAAACGGAAGCGGATCCTCCGCTGCTGGGGTGAGCAGGTATGGGGTGATGGAGGAGGGCATGGGAGGGGGTGGAGCAGGGGAGCAGGGCAGCAGGGCAGCAGGGCAGCAGGGCAGCAGGGGAGCAGGGCAGCAGGGCAGCAGGGCAGCAGGGGAGCAGGGCAGCAGGGCAGCAGGGGAGCAGGGGAGCAGGGGAGCAGGGGAGCAGGGGAGCAGGGGAGCAGGGGAGCAGGGGAGCAGGGGAGCAGGGGAGCAGGGGAGCAGGGGAGCAGGGCAGCAGGGGAGCAGGGGAGCAGGAGAGCAGGGGAGCAGGGGAGCAGGGGAGCAGGGGAGCAGGGGAGCAGGGGAGCAGGGGAGCAGGAGAGCAGGGGAGCAGGGGAGCAGGGGAGCAGGGGAGCAGGGGAGCAGGGGAGCAGGAGAGCAGGGGAGCAGGGGAGCAGGGGAGCAGGGGAACAGGGGAGAAGGGAGGCAGGGGGGCAGGGGTGCAGGGGGGGGGGGGGCAGGGGAGCAGGGGGCAGGGAGCAGGAAAGGAGGGGAGGGAGGAGGGAGGTTAAGGCAGGTTCAGCACAGCACCGACGATTTCTAAGGCAGCTTCAATGCATTGAGCTACAAAAACCCATGGGATCGTGAAAGAGAGTATGTGAGGGAGCAGTGTGAGTGAAAGTAGCACGTAATAGGCACTTCACTTCACTCACTCACCCTCCCTCACTTGGAACGTCCACGTCCACCCCAGCACCACGTAAGGCCACTCCCACAACTCACAATCCCCCACTTCAAAGTTCCACCCTAGGACCTCCGAAGGTCACTCCCACAACTTACCGTTCCCCACATGTAAAGTCCACCCCAACACCCCGTGCACCTTCCACCCACAACAACTCACCCTCCCCGACTTGAAAGCTCCACCCCAGCACCTCGTGCTGTTGAGCCTGCTCCGCCCCCTTGCCCGTGGCCGCTGTGAATCCCACAAACAGCGGCCGGGGGGGGCGCTGCTGCCTGCGGGTCGTTCCCCCCCAGCCACTCGCAGGCGTCCAGGAACATGGAGAGGACAGCAGAGCGCGGGAGAGGAGGGGAGGCGGGGGAGGAAGAGCGAGAGGAGGAGGAGGCAGGGGAGAGCCAGACGGTGAGTTGGGAGGAGGAGGCGTTGTATTGGATGGTGGCGAGGAGGGTTTGACCGGCGTTGAGGGAGGGAATTCCGACGGGGTGCACGGGGGCAGAGGCAAGAGAGAGCATGCTGCCGTGCAGGTTCACCCCCACGTGGTGGTCGGGGCGGTCCAAGAACTCGGGAGAAGAGGACGTGTCGAATTCCACTGCCAGGCTCCGCTGCTTCTGGGGATGAAGGTAGGGAGGGGCGGGAAGGAATTGCATATAAGCAGTAGGGGCAGGAGAGAGCATGCTGCCGTGCAGTTTCACCCCCACGTGGTGGTCGGGCCAGTCGAAGAATTCAGAAGAAAAGGACGTGTCGAATTCCACTGCCAGACTCCGCTGCTGCTGGGGATGAGGGGGAGGAGAGTGGGTGAGCGGGGTGTTGGGACGGACTTGTAAGACAGAAGACTGCTGTTTTTTGAGTTGACTCGAAAAGAGCTGGTCCTGAGGTAACACATACCTGAGATGACACGTCACTGCTGGAACTGGAATTATCAGCAGCATCCGTGCTCCCCGGGGCTATGTTGGAAAAGTCGCGCCCAGCGCATTGTACGCAAGCGTATATACGCTTGCGTATAATGCGCTATACGCTGAATGCCTGACTTTGAAAGTCGCGAAAAGTACGCTGCCCGGGCAGCATAAAACTTTTCCCGGGCAGAGGAAAAAAACCCCCTCCAGGGGGGGGGAGAGAGGGGGGTGAGGGGAGGTTGTACCATACGTTTTTGTTATAGAAAAAAACTTAAAATTTCACCTACTCTAATCTAACAACATGCATCTCCTACACCTGCAGAATAACTACTACTAACACTACAAGCCTACATCTCCTACACCCCCCCCCCCGCCCTCCCCCCCAGCCACCATCCGCCCATGCCTACTCTCTACCCCACCCCCTACTCCCACCCTCTACTCCCCCCGTCCCTTCCTTCCTCCTCTACTTGTACTCATCCTCCAGCTCATCCTCCTCCCCCTCCTCCTCATCCTCCTCCAGAACCTTCTTGTATCCTTCCGGCAGGGGGGCCTCAGGGATGTTCCCCGGGAGAACCGTGACCCCCTCAGGGCCCTTGTGCCAGTTGCGCACAATGTTCCAATTGTGCGCAACATACACGAGGTCCCGACACTTCTCGGACCCCAACCTGTTGCGCTTGGCAGTGTGGTTCGACTCCCACACTGCCCAGTTCCTCTCACACGCCGATGCGGACACTGGCTGAGAGAGAACGTGGCAGGCGAGCGTTGTCAGCTCGGGGTGGTCCGTCCCGTGCCACGTCCACCAATCGACGGCCGTCTTCTTACCGGACTTCACGAGCTCACGGTCAGAGATGGCGTCAGGTAGGCCGAAGCTCCCCTGAAGGGTGTTGAATGCCGTCAGTCCGTCCTGGATGACGTGGGATGCACGCAGCTCGTCGCCCTCCTTGCGCGTCACCGTCTGCCCCGCGAAGTGACGAGCGACAAACGCTTTGAAGACGCGCGTGCACTCCAGGTCGGTCCGGAAGATGCCTTCCTCTTGGTTGACCGGATTGAGGATCCGGCCAACCACGTGCATGGCACACGCCATGCTGTGGTCCCAGCGCTTCTGGACGATGTTGGTCACCTCCGTGCGTTCAGTGCTGGACAGCACCAATCCCGCCTCCTCCTCCTCCAGCTTCGAATTGATGTCTTCCGTTAGCTGAAGCATCAAATCGTAGATCTTGCCCATCATGCCCTTGGCCGTCGAGTCAGTCTTGCGCATGACGACAAAGGGGATCTTCAGAAGGGCGACGAAGAACTCCGCCCCTTTCCACCACACGGCATCCATGATCATCTCTGCGAAGGGCTTGACCGGCGGCTTCCTCCCCTTCGCCCAATCCCGCCACTCCGGGCTCAGCACCATCTGCGTCAATGCACTCCGCACCTCGCAAAGCCACTGCACCGAGATGAATTGCGTGCCAAATCTGGTGCCCGCCAGCTTCAGCACCTGCTTCCCCCTCCCTCCCTTCACCTGCGGGCTTCTCATGTAACCTTTGGTGAAATGGTGGGCACGCACAAAGGTAATAATCAATCCCGCCTTTGCCACAATGTCCTTCGCCCAATCCATTTTCCCAATATCTTCCATGAGCAGATCCATGACGTGAGTCGCGCACGGCACATGCTCAATGTGAGGAAATTCTAGCATGAGCTCCCGACATGCAGCCGCGTAATTGCTGCCCCCATCCATGCAGAAGGCAACGATGTTGGCGGGCCCCACCTTCTCAATGATCGGGCGCAAAACCGATGCAATGTAACCTCCCGTCTTCGTCTCCAACTTACAGTCAATACTTTCGGCGAACACAGCACCGGAGTCGTTGATGAGCAGGATGTTGGCTTGGGGACGGCCACTTTTGTCCGTCATCATGTCCGAACCGATCGTCACTCCATCCCGCTTCCAGCTCGCAGCGATGGGAGCGAGGCCCCGCTCGATCTTTCTGCGGCAGCGTGCAAGGCCGGCGCCACCAACATACCGCCGCTTCGGCGGAACGTAGCCATGGCCCGCGTCCGTGATGCAGCGCACAGCGTTGCGCCATAGAGGGTGATCGGCGAGATGCTCCGGGAGGTGAAGTGCCGCCCACATGAGGCAGATGGCGTCGTCTGCCGATTCCTTCGCACACGACGCCCCCTCCCCGTAAAAGTCTTCGATGCACTGCTTCTTCGATCCACCCGCACACGCCTCGATCGCCATCTCTTCCGCCTTCTTCTTCCCTTCTCTGCGGGCATGTTTGCCTTCGTACAATTCGCGGACGGCGCTGCGGTCAGCAGCAGGGATCGGCACCTTGCAAAGACGGACGTCCTTCCGTTTCAGCCCTTTCCAGCGTGTGATGTGTTGCGCACAACGGAAGGCGCCGCCTACGAACTCAAGCTTGCAGTACCGGCATGTGCGGACAGTTCGCTCAGGACGAGTTGAGGAACCTTCGGTAGAGGTAAGGAAATGCTTAAAGATAACATGGGTGTTCTCAGGAACATCTCCGTCGTCCGCCATGGTCGCGTCATTCGAAACACTAGGAGCCTCACTAGTGGCACTCGCGGGAGTACCAGTAGGAGTCGACATCAAGTGGAGCTGGGCGGGTGCGTTGAGAGAGAATGAACGAGAGAGATACTACAGACGACGGGAAACAGCTTACCTTATAGTCCACGATGTGGTTGAACCACCTACGCTGGTTGACGACATTCGTGTTTGTGTGTTGGAGTCGCGCGATAACACAGGGTGCAATGCGGTTCTGACTTTCCCACGTCCCCAAATTTTGACAGGTGTGGGTGACAATGTGTTTGGGACGTGCGTACAATTTGGGTTGGGACGTGCGTACATTTTGAGTCGCGCCGCACATTCGCAATTCGTGCGCGACTATACAAATCGGTTGTTTTTTCCGGTCAGCCCGAATTTTACCCAACGAATATACGTACGAATAGCGTACACCATATATTCGTTAACGACTATACGGTGTGCGCTTATGGTTTCTGGCGACTTTTCCAACACAGCCCCGGAGGCAGCAGCACGCGGCCGTAGCCCAGGGAGGGCCCCGGCAGGCCGAGCGGGGGCGTTGGCATCATCACAAACACCAAGCCCTCGCCGCCCAGCCCGGCGGCGTTGGGGGAGGAGATGCGGAAGGCGAAGGAGGTGGAGAAGGAGAAGGGGCGGCAGGGGGAGGTGGGCGTGGCGGGGGCGAGCAGCGCGAAGGGCGCGGGGTGCAGCGCGAGAGCAGCAGGGTTGAGGTCGGAGAGCGTGGTGAGGGCGAGGGAGGATGGGTTCCGTCGGGTTGAGCCGGCTGTGAGCAAAGGGTGGGTGCTGGAGAGCGGCCAGTAAGAGAAGGACTTGGAATTGGAAGGGTCGGCTGCAGGGGAGTGACAGGGACAGGGAGTGGAGCGGGATGGGTTGAGGTGAAGAGTGGGAGCGAAAGTGAAACGAGGGATCGATCGTGTACATGAGCAGAAGATTAGGCTTGGGTGCGTACGTGCAGTGCATGCTTTCTTCTGCTACACCTGTGATGTGAGTCGTGACACACCTGTGCCATTGCTGCCGCTCTCACTCACTGCGGGTAGGCATGACAGACGCGAGGTCGATAGCAGTGGTCCCCGCTCCTGCTCCTCCTCCCACTTCCAACGCCACACCCACTCGCTTTACCGCCGCTGCCTTCACTCCCGCTCCCACTCCTGCTCCCCCTCCCGTACTCGCAGCAACAGTGGCGCTGGTGGCGCCGATGCTACTGCTGTCACTGCCACTGGCAATACCGCTGATGGTGGCAACGGTGGCAGTGCCGCTCGTGCTGTTACTGCTGCTGTTACTGTCTTGCACACCTCGAATCACCAAGTGAAGCGTCACTCCCCCTGGCGGCACTACCAACGAGGAAGGGGAAGAGGCGTTGGAGGAAGAGGATGAGGAATCTGTGGGGTCAGGGAGGGGGAAGAGGAGGGGTCCCACTTGGAACCAAGGCAAGGCGCCGGACAAACTCGCGCTGCTCCCCCCACACGGCACACCCACCCGCCACTCCGCCCACACCTGCTCCCCCGCTCCTCCGTCCCCCGTCCCTCCACCTGCTGTTCCCCCTCCCCCTGCTGTGGCGGAAGCGGAAGCGTTCAGCGGAACTGCCAGCAGCAGCACCCTCAACTGCCGCTCCGCCTCCCCTTCCGCGCCCCCTTCCCCCTCCGCGCACAGGCTGGCGCGCGCAAAGAACGAGAGGGACAGCTGGCGCGGGGACTGCTGCTGCTGCGCCTGCTGCGCCTGCTGCGAGTCATTGCTGGTCGGCGCCGCAGCGGGTTTGAGTTCGCACAGCGCTTGTGCCACGCCTGGCCCGCCAAACGCGCTGCTACTAGTACTATTGTTACTAGTACCATTGCTACTACCAGAAGCGCCGTCGCCATTAGAAGACGCGGAAAAAGCGGAAGTCAGTTGTAAAAAGCGGGACCCGTCAGCTGCCAGTAGAGCGTCAGTGACTCCAGTGACCCCATTCGCTATTGACACGTCAGCAGGCGACGCCGCCGCCCCTCCTGCTGGCGCAAGCAATGTTGAGAATGTTTCCCCGGGTTCGAACGCGCGCCACGGGAATAAGTACGGCCATGATGGTTGGCACGACGCGTTCAGCTTCTTGCGACGCCATCCTGTATCGAGACAGCTTGCATCGAAGCTAGGGTTCGAAAGGAGGTTTGTTAATTCACCTGACGGCCAAAGACGAGGGGGTAGTAAAGGAAACAAGTGGAGATTAATACGACTCGACTTCTTCGTATAGTGACGAAACAGCCTCAACGGCGGTGATACCAGGAACGGGAGAAGCGGAGCCTCTTACCATTTGGATTAGTTACTACGTAGTGGCAGTCGACGAGTCCGTCAGCGACATGAACGAAGGAAGCTACGATATAGAGGAGAAACGTAACCCGTCGGAAAATCGCGACATGGAGAAGACATATGGCTCGTGGTTGATCCCGCAATCTGCGGCGAGAAATGCGGCAGGAACTCATCGGCTCCGACGCGTTCTAAGTAACGCACTCTGAAAACGAGATTTACTCCACATAACTGCTTATTCGGAAAGGTTGCACTCTGAGGAATCCCGGACTGACACCTGCCATTCCGAGTCGGCCTGTCCCAGCGAGCTACACATATGCTGATTGGCTGCTGCGGTACCGCCGCAACGATCACCGCAGTCATGGTATTTTGCACAGACGAGACAGAGAGCGCCGCACTTGCGTGGGTGTAGGTGGAGCTTCTTCTGCAGGGAGGGTGGGGAGTGTGTAGTGTACACCTGCAGCCAAGTTCAGCTGTATTTTTCGCACCGACATACACAGAACCTACGCATCTCTCGCTCGATTTCGTGCAACCGTCGTGCAACCGTCGTGCAACGCTTCGACGAAACGGACGAACAATTCACGAAAACTCGAGCGAAAATAACATTGAAACTCAGGAGCAACGTAGCAGCGTGAGCTTTCGCTTCAACGAGTTACACCAGCGTTTTGAGCAGGTAGATTCGCGGAGCTGATTTCTAGGTCTTTCAGACACTACTCCTGAGCCTCCATCAAAGATCATGAAGCATCAAATGACACCTTCAACTTTCGCGGCGCGCAAGAAACCGTCACCTGAGCGTTAGCTATTGCATTTAGGTTACGCAGGAAAGCGAGGTCGAAGTATGGGGAGTTCCATTGCGTTCTTTCACACGGAACCACACGCTGCTAGAGCGATGTCATTTGTGGAAAGTGGAACGGAACGCGGAGGAATCCCAGCATCGGAACTCTCTGTTGAGCCAGAAACGCGATTTGCAGCAACGGAAAGACCAAACATGGCTGGCTGAATTCGCAAGGCTTCTTTTTTTCCCCACAGCATTAGTAGCATCAGCCTTAGCATCAGACTTAGTTTCCGTCTCATTATCAGAACCAGCTCGGCATCATGATCAGCATCTAATCAGCTTCAGTGGAATCGTCATAATCCTTGGCAATACCGAGGGTCGACCGTGTTGGACCACTCGCCCGCGCACAACACACCCCAGCCGCACACCCCTCCGCAGGGGATTGTAGAGTCGATCAAAAGTCGTTTCGGCAATACCGAGGGCCTTGTTGGACCATTCGCCCGCGCACAGCATACCCCTGCCCTGCCTCAACGCCCCTTCGCAGGGGGCTGTTGAGTCGTCTCACAGATCGTCTGATTTACCGAGGCCGTGCTGTACCACTCGCCCGCGCACAGATTTGTCCCAGCCTCACGTCGCTCCGCAGGGAAGCAGCGTCGCCGCCGCCCCGCCCGGCGATCCGACGACGGTGACTCTCACCCGCAGTTCCGCTTAGGGTGCAACTGAATATTCTGCCTGGCTGGCCGCTGGTGATTATAGTATGCAGCCAGCGATGAGCGCTTGCAACTGCAACCGAGGACCCGCAATGCCATTGCAGCTGGATGCTCTCATACCACGCCACCAGCCAATGCAGTTTAAAACTCCCCAGGTTGCAGCTCCTGACGCAGCTCCAAGCACCGAAGTTGGAACGCGCGTTGGCATTTCCCCTTACCCCCCTATCTCACCTCCCCCTACCCCCCTATCTCACCTCCCCTTACCCCCCTATCTCACCTCCCCCTACCCCCCTATCTCACCTCCCCCTACCCCCCTATCTCACCTCCCCCTACGGCCCTATCCCACCTCCCCTGCCGCCCTATCTCCACCCCCCCCACCCACCCCCTTTCCCCCCCCACACCACCCTATCACCTCCCTGACCGCCCTATCACACCTCCCCCTACCGCTTTGACACTTTTCCCCCTATCACACCTCCTTCCACCACCCAATTGCACCTCCCTGTACCGCTCATCGCACCTCCCATTGCACCTTCCCCCATGGCACCTCCTGTAACACCCCTATCACAGCAACACTCTTCACACCCAGCCCCTCTGCAGTCGGCAAAGCAGCTGCCATCGGCAGGTGCAGCAGGTGCAACTCACAGTTCGAAGCAAAAGGCCTCTTCTTTTGGCTTCTTCAACTGCTTTAAGTGCCCCAGCTGCCGGTTGTGCGCATACTCCAGGAAGGATGGCACATCGGGGTACCTCACTGCACTCCCACCACCACTCCCACCACCACTCCCACCACCACTCCCACCACCACTCCCACCACCACTCCCACCACCACTCCCACCACCACTCCCACCACCACTCCCACCACCACTCCCACCACCACTCCCACCACCACTCCCACCACCACTCCCACCACCACTCCCACCACCACTCCCACCACCACTCCCACCACCACTCCCACCACCACTCCCACCACCACTCCCACCACCACTCCCACCACCACTCCCACCACCACTCCCACCACCACTCCCACCACCACTCCCACCACCACTCCCACCACCACTCCCACCACCACTCCCACCACCACTCCCACCACCACTCCCACCACCACTCCCACCACCACTCCCACCACCACTCCCACCACCACTCCCACCACCACTCCCACCACCACTCCCACCACCACTCCCACCACCACTCCCACCACCACTCCCACCACCACTCCCACCACCACTCCCACCACCACTCCCACCACCACTCCCACCACCACTCCCACCACCACTCCCACCACCACTCCCACCACCACTCCCACCACCACTCCCACCACCACTCCCAATACCCTCAGTAGCCCCAGCAGCAGCAGCAGCCGCACCCTCTAGGGCGAGCGGGATGGCACGCTGTACGCACACAATGTCACCATTTTCCAGCTGTGCGTCCTCGAATGTGAGCTCCCAGTCCAGAACCTCGCACATCACCATCGGGTCATACTTTATTTCCTGCCAGGTTCGGGGGAGCGGAGAGGGACGGAAGGGGGATGCGGGAGTGGAGCGGGGCGGAAGGGGGATGTGGGAGCGGTGGAAACTTCATGTCTGGATCTCCTCGGGTATGAATGGTCCGATGATCGGCACATGCTACACAATACTCTCCTCCCTCCCCTCACCACACGCACCTCAGAGAGCAAAATGCCATCGACAGGTGCAAGGCCACACACCTCGTTGATCTCCGCAGTCACACAAACCACTCTCGGGTCAGGGTCCTACTATCAGCGGACAATATTCCCCTTGCTTCACGCGCACCTCAAAGAGCAGAATGTGATTGATATGTGCAAGGCCACACGTCTTGTTGATTTACCCCGCACTCAGACTTCTCTCTCTCATGGTCATACTAGTAGCACACAGTATTCCCCTAGCCCCACACATTTGGTTGACCTTCCCTCTTGAATGGACTCAAAACTCACTCAGTACTAACAGAACTCCCCTCCCCTCGCCCCACACACACACCTCAAAGAGCAGGATGTCATCGGTGGGAGAGAGGCCACAAATCTCGTTGATCTTCCCTCGTACATCATCAGGTTTCTGCTCTGGCCTCACAAAGAAACGACCCACGTAACTGTAAGAGAGAGGGAGAGGAGAAAGAGGGGAGCAGGGGTTAAGAGTTTGTGTTTGAGCGTGAAGACTCAAATAAAAAGGTGTCTTCTCTATTAGCTTCACAAACGGGCGTGGCTGCAAAGCGAGAGGGGGGAGGAAGAAGGAGATGAGGGGAGGGGAGGGAGAGGTGAGGGAAAGAATGTGAGCAAGGAAAGAGTGATGTATGAGAGATGAAAGGACCATGTCAAAAGGCACGGAACTCTTAGCCCGAGGTTAACAAACAGATAACCTACGTACCTGCAAAGGAAGAGAGTGGAGAAGGAAGAGGGAGAGGGGAGCGAGGGAAGAGAGGATTGTGAGGAAGATGGAGAAGTGTTTTTTCCGAGCCTCTGCTGTTACCCTGCTCCCCAGACTGACTATCCCCCTGCACTGTCACACCTGACCATCTCTCACCGAAGGATCTCTCACCTGACCATCTCTCACCCAACCATTTTTCACCTAGACGTTCCTCACCTAAGCGTCTCAGTGACTGGATTGTAGAACTTGAAAAAGAGCAGAATGTCGTCCTTGGCCCTCATCTGTAGCAGAGTCAATGACCCGTTCTGTTGCAGTCAAATAACGAAGGAGGAGGGGAATGGGCGGGTTGGGGATAATTGCATCGACCTGGATGGTCACTTCGGAAGCACTGGACACTGGTTTTCCGTGCAGTCAGCTTACAGGGGAGGGGTACGAGTGGGTGGGAGGGCGAAAGCAACGGCTGCCCTGGTGCAGTCAGCTTAACGAAGGTTAGGAGGGAGGAATCGGGACAGGGGGGGAATTGTTAGGTAGGAGAGATTGCGTGGATGGGGGGGGGAGGTGAAGTGACGAAGGAATCACCGTCTGTCTGATCCTGGCGCAATCAAGTTACAGGTAAGGGAAACGAGACGCCTCACAAGTCGTTTCGTGAGGGATTGGAATGCAGCAAAGAGGGGCGTGAGAGGACATTACTTACAGTGGGGGTTAGAGTGCCTTCTAGGAAGAGGCGCAGGTGTATGTCGTGTGGCTTGCACACTGAGTCCCGCAACTGCCCCACCTGAAAGAGGAGGCGGGTGAGTAGAGAGGAGGGACGAGATGATAATGGGAGGAAGGGTTTGGCGTGTGCCTTGCACACTCCCTCAGTTGCTCCACCCAGGCAGCCGAACATAGTGTTAAGGTATTAGAGCGAAGGGGAATCAGGGGGCGGGAGGGAGAGGACGAGATGGAAAGCGGAGAGAGAAGTGATATGGGAGGAAGTGGCTGGAGAGAGTGCTTCAGCAACTTTGAAAAAAGTACCTTGAGTTATTCACTCCCTACATTCCCTTCCCGCACTCACTCCCACTCTTCCTTCCCTCCACCACTTCCTTCCTATCCCTTACCTTTCCCTTCTCACCGTCATGCCCCATTCCATGGGACTAAGCGGCCGGAGGGGGCGGTACGTGTGGTTCTGCCGACGCGCCCACAGCCAAAATCGCTGGCCTGCCACCGGAACGCCCACCTTCCTTTCCACCTCCCTCCTAAACTCCCAAAACGGCATCTGGTTCGGCACACGGAAGCTCTTCACGCGCTTGTGGTCTACGAGGTCGAACATGCGGGCGTTTCCAATCTGCTTCATCAGGTCCTTGTCTCGCGAGACCTTGATGACCGTGAACAGGTGCGCCTCAGCCTCCTCCTTGCGCTTCCGCGCCTCCTCCCGCTCCTCCTGCTCCCGCTTCAACTGCATCTGAGGAGTGGCGGGGGAAGAGAAGAGGCAAATACACACAGGAGTCAGGCAAACGGGTCCATGGGGAGGGGATTGTCACAACCCCTCCCTTGCACTTGCACTCCTTCTCCTCCTGCTCAAGCTTCGCTGGAGAAGGAGCGGAGGAGCAGACACACGCCGACAGGATATACGGAACTATAGGGGGGAGGACATGCTACCAACCGACCCTGAGGTACTATGCAAGGTCATCCTTACCTACAATACCGCTTTCACGCACGCATGTACTGCCTTTCTTTCTCATTGCCTCACACATTTACCAAAAAGGGTTAACCCATCATCCCATGCATCCGTCAAACTGACTTCCACTGCTTCGGGGCTCGTCATCGTCCTCATGCCAGGAGGTGAAGTAAGTTCACAGAATCCAATTGTTGCTGCTCAGCGTTACTACCGTTGTGATGATTTACGACCTTCAGATATGCATTGGTCGGCCCTGTTTCGAAGTCACAGAATAGCCTGGAACACCGTTACCTTGATTACGACACTGGCGAACAGAAAAAAACTGTGCCTTTTTCAACATCAATTCATAACAAGCTCTCACCTCCCACTCCTTCGCTTCCTCCTTTGGCTGCACCAGCGTTTTCACTGCCTGCGCTACCGATGCAGACACAAGCAATTCCATCTCTTCTCTTGAAACCCGTGCTTGTTCATCCTGAGCAATTACACTTGTTGGCGACTGACACGAAGCCCGAGAAACCGCCTGGAATCAACACATTGTGAGAACAAAACAAAAAAACTGGAGTGAGCAGATATCAAGTCATTCAAGTCTGGTGACACGCTAGAAACTTCCCCGCTCACCTCCCAAATCTTGCACATTTCTTCCTTCTGATGCGACAGCAATTCCTCTGCCTGCGAGAGTCGCGCTGTCAGTGCAGCCATCTCCTTTTCCTTCTCCTCCCTTGCAGCCCTCTCACCTGCTAGTTGAATCCTAAGTTCGCTTATGCTCTTATTGTTTTCTTCCCTCATTTCCCTCCAAAAAGCCTCCATACTCTCTAATTTAGCAATCAGCATTGGGCTTTCTGTGATTTCTCTTCTCGGTCGCTTTTCCGCTTCCAACTCCCTCCTTGCCTCATCGAATCGAACGGCTAATTTTGTTCCTACGCTCACAATCTCCTCTAAAAGTCTTGCTGTCGCCGTTGCCATTATGGCCTCAACTTTTTGCTGACTACAGGAACAGGCTGTCACTTACGGAGAAGATTGGTCAATTGAACAACTACCACATAATTCTTGGAACTAGACGCAATCCTCCACAAGGCTGGCAAGAGAGAGCCTTCAATGAGTATTGAGTGCTGTCGACGTTATCAATGCCGTTTGTGTTTCCATTTTGAAATGGAACTTGCACCGCACCAATTTGTGGTGGATGAAATGGCGTGAAACGGGCAAGGGGCTGTGTGTGGGAGGAGTTTTGGCGGGAAACCAGGCTCGTCGGGGGAAAATCGCATTGCGACCTCTCTGCGACCGGATCAGCTCGGGAGAATTCCGCCGAGCATCCGAAGGTGGTACGAGCCTGGTTTTTCCCAGACGAGCCTGGTTTCCCGCCAAAAACCCATCCAGACCTGGCCCGTTCACACGATTGAATCTGTTACACCCGGTAGGGCAGTTTCGCAACCATACGTAGTGAAAATCATGCGGTTTCCAGTTCGCCCTCGATTCGCAATGCAATATGCGAGATCGCTCATACCGGCTGGGTCAGAAGTGTTCTTTGTGGGTAGGCGCACGCAGCGAGAATATCGTTACCAACACACCCTTGTTGTAAGGGCGCGTGTGATCTTGCCGAACCTGACAAAGTTCGAACTCAAACCGTGTTGCACCGTGGCAAAACTCTTCCAATTGTATCCTACCGTGACGAACCGTTACGAAAGTTCGAACTTTCGGTCAGGTTCGGCGAGATCACACGCGCCCTAAGGAATTTCGCTAATTCCTTACTGAGGCTGTTCTTACGCGTACAATTCCAACCTTCGGAATTCAGGCTCGGTCCGACGACCTCGCCTTCCGAACGTCAACCGCGTCGCCTTCGGGTTTCCCAACCCCAAACCTGCACCCAACCTTCGCGCGACTCCGCGACCTCGGCCTAGCTAGCTTTGCTATATTGTGCCTAGGCCTCGTTGTTCGATCAGTAGTTGTAATCACTTCCGCGATATTGCATTCTGCGCACTCTTCATTCTTACAACTCATAACACTTGGTATCAGAGCTACTTTCCTAGGTTACCCACCACTTTCCGGGGTAGTTTTAGTGCAGGGGTGCGATAGACTTGGTGGGCTGCAAAGCGGTCGGCTGAGAGATAGATACGATTATCTCGCTCCGACTAATAGCGTTTGCGCCTTCATCAAAGTCATAAAAATCGCTGTTAACCCGCTGCCCGCTAGGATGAGTATCCGAAACATGACGCAGGCGGAGTTTGACGCCTTCGTGCAGGATTTTCGGGCGATGCAGGCCAACATGTTGTCCATGAACGGCGAGTTGGAGCGCCTGAGGGTGGAAAACGCCGAGCTACGCCAGACGCGAGGTGAAGCGCGTCAGGAGTCGCCCGTCGTGGATGAAGCAAGTAGCAGCTTCGCACCTAACGACGAGGTCCTTAGCGAGCTACAGGACTCGCTAGACGCTGAAGAT